TCATCTACCTCCCCAGGACTGGGGTTTACAGGTGTGCCCCGTGGTGCTGGGTGTGGAACGGCACTGGGCACTCCAGCAACTACCCTGCTTTCTCAGTCATGACTCTATTCATATGCCGGACAGATAAGCTCTGAGAGCCTCTTCCATCTTAAAAAAAAAAAAAAAAAAGCTGTCAGCACCCACATACATGTTAATGACAGAAAGAATGGCATTCCGCTGCTCGGCATTTTGCAATGTTCACTTAAAAAAGCTAATTTGTCCGTTTGTCTCTCCCTTAACCAAACTCGGGGGTGCCTTGCCAGCAACCATGGGCAATTTTTAGTGTTAACTGCATTTCCTTACCGAGAAGAACAGCGGCAACTCTACAGCGTCAGTCAAGGCAGCATGAAAAAGAACCAGCTCCTGGCAGTTCAGAGTTTAAGCTCTGGTAATTTCCTCCAGCATTAAAATCAAACACTGGAGAGCACTCGATTTCAAACAAGGGTGAAGGGAGGCAGCCTGGGCTGCAGACTCGAGTCTCACAAAGGTGTGGCCTGCTTTAATGGAAGGAAGCAGGAGCTGGCCTCGTACTGAGTCTCCTGCAGGGCTGTGCTATCCCTGCAGGAGGGAGGTGGCCTCTGGGCTGAACCTTTCCTCTCACAGAAAGACACCCCTCCAACCCCACATCCTCCTACCCCATTTCCCATGGCCCAGGCTCTATCAGACACAAAAATCCTGCCAAATGCCTGCCGCCTCCAATAGTAAGAGAAAAAATCAGATGAAATTGAAAACATTGACATCTTTTATTTACTCTAAGTGTTTCAGTGCTGGGAATGCCACCTTTTGATTCTCATATGCTAGGCCATCCACCTACTGCCACCCACAGCCCTAAAATCTTTTGTTGGTCCGTTTTTCAGTCAGGTATTGCTATGTGGACTAGGCTGGCCAAAAACTCACATTTACCTGCCTCAGACTGTCGAGGGCTGGGGACTGAAGGGGTGCACCATCAGGCCAGGCACAGACTTAAAATTTTGAAGAGGTTTACAACAAAGTAGACATCTTTCAAGAAGCCATGTTCACCCTCGGACTCTTTCAACTGGGTCACTTCCTGTGCACACGGTGTGCCCAGCACTGTTCAGGGACTCGGAGGCATCTGGGAAGCTCCACGGAGGCCAACAACACAGGGTCCCTCAGTCCCAGGTCCCTTCCTGTAAAGGCGCTCCCTTCCCTGGCAAACAATGCTCTCTTCAATTTTCTCAGAACCCAGCTTCAATAGCGAGGCACGGCGAGCTAAGTACAGTGGTCCCGTTTGTAATGTTAGTCCTGGGAAGGGGGCAAGGCAGGAGGACTGTTGTGAGTTTGAGGCCAGCTTGCACTCTCGAGACCCTAACAATAAATAATTTTAATAACAATTAAATTATTATAACAATAATAACTTTAAAGTGGGACCCAGTGCAGGTCAGGAAAGCCGAAACTGTGAGCAAGACCAACAACTCCAAGTGATCCTTGGAGACACCGGGGAACTGCACACACCGGAGAACCTGGCAGACAAGGAGGAGCTTTCAGGAGCACACTCGCAGAAACTGACACAGAAGGCTGTCTGAAAGCTCAGGGGACGCTGGCGCTGCTCTGTTGGTGAGATCCACCCAGACCAACTTAATTTCCTTAAGGCTCTCAGAGAAAGATGCTATCATTACAGATAGCATTTTTAGGCAAACTAATTTGTCCCTGAACTCAAATCACCATCAAGCTATCACAAAATGTATGATACGCTGGGATCAAAAAAAGAAAGAAAGAAAAAAAAAAAAAAAAGACATGGATGAGCCAAGAGTAGAGATGTGCGCCTGTGACCCCAGCACTCAGTACGCTAAGGCAGGAGGATCTCTGAGTCTGAGGCCAGCCTGGACTGTGAAGCGACCCTGTCTCAGAGAAAACATAAAGTGGCCAGTTGTTGCCTCTGAGATCCTTTTTCCCTCAGACATGACCAGGACGTCCAGGTAAACAGTAATGTGGGGCCAGGAGAGGCTGTGGGCCTCTCTTCAAATGTCACCAACAAAGTGAACAAGCACTGGCAGTCAGTGCCCCTCCGGTGGCTGCGGCCAGGCTCACGCACAAGAATCCAGGGGTACCTCCTGGTTCCTATTAGACCAGAACTGCTGGCGTGTTCACACTCACTCGTGTGCTCCTTACACAAAACAAAGCTTCCAGGTTCTTTTGAATGGTTAAAATACGTTAAAATAAGATTAAGGGTCTGGTTTAAACAATCAGAGGCAGGGGAATTTCAACTGAAACCAAAACTATCTCTCCAAGGCAGCAATAACCCAGAGTTTCAGACAAAACAAAAAGACGAGGTAGACACATTTCTGCCACTGACAATGACTAATAAAAATCATACTTTTCTTGGGAAGGGCAATTATACTTTAAAGCTACGTATTAAATTTCAAATACATTTAAAATAATTCCTATAGTCACTTACGATCCTACATATGAGAATAACCTACTACAGTAACTTCACAGAGCATCTGTGTTATAGACCAGCAAGATTTTTGTAAACTATAAAAGGAACCAAGAGTGAAAATGGAGCCTAGCTCTGGAGGTTCTTCATATATGGTGAAATTTCTCCTAAAACAATTACAAAGTTTCCCTAACAAACATTCCATCCGTTCACAGAGACTCAGACTCTGTGTCTGGCTTTGTTTTCTCTGCAACCTCAAGAAAAGCCATCAACAAGCTCCCACACACTCCCAGGTTTCTCTGCCTTGACTGCCAGCTGAGAAGGGGCTTTTACAGGACTAAGTGGCTTGGGCGCGGTGGGGCTGCAGACTGCAGGTGGGCACGCTGGGCTCAGGAGAGAGTAATTCTCGAGAAGACAGAGCTGTGTGTGTCCCTCCCAACTTAGTTAGACCTGAGTGTTCAAGAAGACACAGGCCAAGGAACTTCCACGGACCCAACCTCATCAAGAACGGCAACATTTATTTCATCTTTGCACTGACTTGTGCCTTTAAAAAAAAAAAGGTTTCACCCAGGCAAAAGCTTTGAGCAACTGATAATAGCCCGTCCCACACGGGTCTCTTAAGATGCCCATATTTAAAGAAGCGAGAAAAGATCGGCACAGGGGTGCCCCGCATCCTCTGTTTACTCTTACCCTATGAAAGGCACTACGTGAGACTGTAGCTGAAATCACATGCTCACTACAAAGGGCAGCGTCAGTGTCGGCCTGCTGCAAACGCACATAAACACACAAACGTGGGCGCTTCCATAGTGGGGACAGACAGAAGCAACCAGAACACGGACTTGCAGCAAAACCTGAATTCGTTTTCTGACTTGGGAAGAGAACATTTTCAAAGTTCACTTTTGCAGAGGATTCTCAAGAAAAGAACATGTCACACTATAATGAAAACACCCCAAAGGGATACAGCCACAAGCAGGCCCTGTTTGTTCCCCCAAACATTGAGAGCTCCACTAATCTGAAAACAAGTTACAAGAGTTAAATATGCCTCTGCTCAAACATGTACTTAAAAGATAAACTTATACAATGGTCTTTTTCTTATTTTAAAAAAAAAGTTTCTTTTTTACAAGTCTGGGAGAGGATCAAAACTTGTTCAACTAGTCTTAGCGACACTAGGGCACTCTAAGTTTGTGCCCCACGAGCCTTGGTTGCGGATGAGAAAGGAAACAGGCCTGTTTTCAGAAACTCTTCAGGGACAGACATCCACTCCAGTTCCCAAGGCGGCCTTAGGAAGCAGGGGACTAAGAACACAGCCTGCCAGAAGCTGAGGAGGTGCGGGGCCTGCAGCACCCTTCCTGAGACCTGAACTACGCTTCCGGAGTCACCTGAAAACTCCCACCCGACCACAGGAGGGAACCTCACATCCACTCAGAACCCCTGGATCAGGCCCCAGATGAAGGAGCAGTCCTGGCTCACTCGGCCTTTGTCACTCCTCGTTCAAGCGAGGGCTTTCAAACCTGCCATCAGTGACACAGTTGGAACCACTGGAGGCCAAACGGTTTATCTACCAAACGGCAACAGACTGTAACCAGAACAGTGCTTAAACAAAGACGTTGGTTTGTTGTTGTCTTAAGCTCAACATAAAGTTCATTCACGTCAACCTCAGGGAAACTTTCAATAAAGCCATCTGCTTACACGTCCTCAAGATGACCCCCTAAAGTTCATCAATGTGGGGGGGGGGGGGACGACGCTGATATCCACCACTTTCATAAAAATCTACTAATTCTCAAGAAACCAAATCTTTTTTTCTGGTCTTCTTTGGGAATGCTCAATAAAGGAGCTTTATCCTGATATTGAACTAGGATGTGACGTGGGGGCAGTGAATATTAAGGTTTGTTTCTTAAAATTCCACAACGGGTTTTACAGTGTGCACAGGAACTAAATTATGGTAAAAGGGAGCTATTTTTACTAAAATAGGGTAGACCAATTAATCAAAAAATGTCATCCGGCCGCGTTCATTACGTTCAGGGATCTAATTTACACAACAGTCTGTGGAGTAATCCATTTCAGTCAATAAATACTCAAACTTCTTTAAGTTTTAATCTTATCGGAAAAAAAATATTTCACATAGTCTTCTAGTTAAGAGAGAAACAGGAGGAAATTTCATAACGAGTGTGAGTCGGCTTTAACGTCCTCACGTAGGCAAGGGAAGAAGCAGCAGGCTCAATTAAAGTTGTTTCACTCCACTCGGGTTCGTTTAATCCGGCCGGCCCCGTTTCCCATAGGCCTCCGTGTGGAGTTCGTTTGTTTAGGACTGCGAGGGTGCTAGGGGTTAGCAGATCTCTCCAGTCCTCCGGGTGAGCAAAGTTCACCCAAGTTCATGTTCAAGCACTTCAGAGTTGGGAGCAAAGGCAGTTAGTTCCCAAAGCTGTTACAGAACATCACACACAAAGACACACACGCACACAGACACACAGACACACACAGCGCCAGGCTGCGGCCGTGCACCACAGACTGCCCCTCTCTCTGCGTCCCCAGTGACCAAAGCTCTGAGGGCTCCTTGGCCGCTCACCTTCAGCGTGGCTCCGGCCACGCACAACATCCACCTGGCAGGGTCCCGGGGCTGTCCAGGCGCGGGGAGAGCGGAGCCAGCACGAGCGGGGCCGCCGGGGGCGGGCGGCGGGGACCCACAGCCGGGCCCCGCGCGGTCCAGCGGGGCCGCCGGGAGCGGGCCGGCCGCGCGCTGCATGGCTCCCGGGGCCGCGGCGGAGAGGACGGAGCAGCCTCCGCGGGAGAGCGACGGTCACCGGGGCAGCGCGGGCGGTGCCTGACGCGCGGCCGGCGTGCTCGGCGGAAAGTTGCAGCCGTCCCCCCGCGCCCGCCCGCCCCCGGGGCCGACCCCGCGCGCCCCCGCCGGCCGAGTTCTCCCTCCGCGCGGGCGGGCCGGTCCGCTCCGCTGTCCCCCCGCCGCTCACACACAAAAGAGCGCGCCGGCCCCGGGACGTAAACAGGCGGAGGGGGAGGCGGTCCCGGCGGGCGCCCGGGAGCCGT